GTGAGCGGCGGCAAAGGCGTGCGGATGAGGCCGCTGGCAAGATCCTGCAGTCCGAGGCCGGTGTGATCTTCGACCTGCCGCGAGTGCACGTTGTACAGGAGCGAGTTGATGGTGATGTCGCGCCTCTCTGCGTCTTCCTTTGGCGTGCCAAAGGTCATGGTGGGGATCCTCGAGCCCGGATCGTACGTCTCCTTGCGCAGGTTGACAAAATCGAGCGAGAGGCCCAAGACTCGCGCCGTGGCGGTCTCGAGGTTCTTGCTCTGCTCCGGGTTGGCGGCGATCTTGCCGATCCTGCCCATCTCGTGGCCATCTTCGCGGAAGTAGGGCGACTGCGCCAGGGACGATGTGGCGAAGGAAGGACTGGAGAGGAAGTGCTTGAGGTAGAGCGCAAAGGCGTTGCCGGTGAGGGTGGAGAGCGAGATGTCGAGGTCGTCCGAGTCGCGCTCGAGCAGCTTGTCGCGCACCCATCCGCCGGCGATGCGCGCTTCGCACGGATCGGATCCATCGCCGCTGCGCTGCGTCGCATCCACGCCTTCGATCTCGGGCTTCTCGCGTTGGATGTAGCTGCAGGTGTGGTCGAGCAGCTGGCAGATTGCCTCCTCCTGCTCGGTCAGCTGGATCTGCGCATCGGGCCGCATGGTGGACTTGACCAGCCGCTGTGTTGCAGATCCAATTCTTGTTGCCGGAGTGGATACGCGACGAGGTAGGCCTGAAGACTGTCCGCTCCTGAGCAAGCCGGTGGGTATAAGTGATCGATGTAGCGTGCAGGAGCGAATGTAGCTCAGAGACATGCCATTGACGTGAAGAGGTTGGCCGTCGCAAGGCCCTGAGCAGAGCGTTTGTCTGTCCCTGATTTGGATTTTATGAGCGTTGTAGATGAACTGATTGTCGAGAGTTCCTTGTTGATGTTGAAGGTGTTGGAGGTGCTAGTGATGTTGGTGGAGTCGAGGGTCCATTCTTCCAACCCTGGAAATGTAGCTCCGCCTCCACTCTGCGCAGCACCCGAGCAGCACATTCAGTGATCCGTGAGCCCTGCAGAATTCCACTCGCGCGAGAAAGTTGTGTCGGCGTCACGTGGAAGCGGCGGTTGGACGCAGCTGCACCGACGAGAGTCGGTCGAGCGGAGACGCTTTGGCGGCTTTGGTGCCAACGGCCATCAAACGTCTAACCACCATCGTGATCATACCTCAGCATCGACGTCGATAGCTGAATACAACTCACCATGCCGCCTAAAGCAGCCGTCGAGGACTTTGACGATGACTTCGAGGTAAGCTTGGCACCAGCCTCCCACAGTTGCAGCTCACATTAAAGCGACTGACGATTCGTTCTGCATTCGCATCCCAGTTCGACCTTCCAACCGTCTCGTCTCCCGCCGTAGCGCAGGCACAGGCAGGCGCCGGAGCTTCGGCGCCTCAAGCCGACCAGATGGCCGCATTCCAGAAGATGATGGAGCAGATGGGTCAGGCACCAGGTTCGGGCGACTTTGGCTCCACTCGGGCTCCCGTCGGCGCCAACATGTCCGGTGCGAGCGGCTCCAAGGGCAAGGACGACGGCGAGCACAAGAAGTGGGTGAGCGTCTACCCGATCTACTTTGATGCCAAGCGCCACTATCGCAAGGGCTGTCGCCGTGTGTCGTACGAGAAGGCGAGCCCCTTCCCGACGCAGCTGTGGATTGCCAAGGCGGTGGCGCGGCTGCAGCTGAAGTACGTGCAGGAGCCGTACAAGACGCATCCGCAAGACTGGGAGAATCCGGGCCGCGTCAAGGTGCAGCTGTTCAACGATGACGGCAGTGCGCTCAACAGCCGCTTCGCGAGCAAGAAGCAACTGTTTGATGCGATTGCCGAGATTCTGCAGCCCAACTGTGGCGGTAAGCCGCCTGCGCTCGAGCCGCGCAAGAAGCGCGTACGTCCGTCGACGATCAAAAAGGAGGCGCTCGCCGAGAATGCCAAAGCGGTCTCATCGGGATCGCAGCCCGCTGCCGGCTCGTCGTCCAAGAGCAAGGGCAAGAAGGGCGGCAGCAAGGACGGTGCTGCGGCGACGGGCGGTGCCAAGGCTACACTCACCAAGGAGCAGCGCAAGCAGGTGCTGCAGGCGAAGCGCGACCCGAACCCCAACCCGATCCGCGCCCGGCTGGCCAAGATGCGCTTCCCGCCCACGCTCGAGGCGCGTCTGCCGGCGCACTCGCCCGCGGTGGAGGGCGGTCTGCTCAACATGAACCTGGCGGAAGCCATGGGTGGTATGCCGCCGGGCATGCCTGGTGCTGACGCGCTCGGAGGTCTCGGAGGCATGCTGGGCGGTATGGGTCTGGGTGGCGACGATGACGACGAGGACGACGAGGACGAGGCTGAAAAGGAGGAGGCGGCGGGCAAGAAGAAGGACCCGATGAACCCGCTCAACCTCGGCCGCAGACAGAGGAAGAAGGTGGTACGAATCGGGCGTTGAAGTCTTGCCTTGATCGGGACTGTTTTGGAAAAGCGTCGTAGCATTCGCCATGCCACTTGCCAATGCCAATGATTGCAATAGCCACCTCGTGTGTTGCCAGCCTGTGCACGTGAGGCTGTCAGGAGCATATGCATAATGCGAGAGATCCAATCGCAAGATCACCAACACCTAGCTTACTTGTACCATACCGCGGCGTGCGCGTGCATCTGCGGCCATAGAACCTTGAAAGCA